ACCACGTTGCGTGTATCCGTGCGGTCTTCGTATCTTAGGACTGGTGGTGTGTAAACAACCCCCCTCCTCTTGATCTAAGATCAGTGCACACCCTTACGGAGCTGTCCAGTGTAACAACAACACAACGCAAGAGGCTACTGTTTGCATTCCGTCAGGAAAAGTACACAGTGCTGAAACAGTTCGCACAAACATTGCTAGCAATGGACTCACTCGACTGATTTGCATCTGTCAGACAAGGAATTTCGATGCCTTGCAGTAACTAACAGGACTGAATCAGAAGAATCTATTCCAGTGTGTATTTTTAAGTTTGTTTTAATTGATTCGGACTAATTTTTAAATACTTCGATATCCTGTCTCTATTAGTCGCAATTTCTTCCTGCTCATCAATAGCAGGCCAAGTTTCACATCCACACAGCAGTGCAAAGCTAAGTTATTATAAGACACAAGAACATAAAAGATTCTGAAGTGAACCGGTCTGCAGCAAGCATTCCTCAAACTTAATTTACTCTTAACTGCATCATGGATATCAGAGGATAAGCCTTGAATCAGAACAGACATTTCTATTTAGATCGGACAGGGAAATACATACAGAACTTTCCACGGACTAAAGGAAAAGGCTCTAAATCAGCTACGTGATAGGAGAGTACTTCAATTTAAGACCATGAAATTATAAAAAAGTGCGTATATTTAGCAGTTATCACATTTCCACCTACATAAATTTAGCTGCTTTAAACTTTTAAGTCATAACCTCAAAATTTCACTCTGTCTCCATGTTTGTAATATCAACATAAAATGTTTCATATAAAAGGTCTTTAATTATGAACATCGTACTAAATTTCAATGGCATGTTTCAAAGTTTTTCAACATAAAACAGAAAGCGTCCGCCATTCTATTTTAAATTCCACTATTAAAAAAGTTAAAGAATGTCGCATAATTTTTAACTTGAATTACATTACAGGAAGTTCTGTAGTTTACACCTCGAAGTTTGCATGGGCTTGGTATTAATGGCCGGGGGGGGGGGTTAATTAGTGAGGTGTGACTATGGCATGGCATAACTGCGTGCACCACTTTTCTCGAAAAGAATTTGTTGAGAAGTTGTTAGCTGGACAGACTTTAATACCCACGGACATAAAAAGTATATAAGTACTTACGATAGATTTTATATAAATTAATGAGAAAAATAGTAAGAATGTAATATGTGTACATTTTTACACAAAAACCTTCGGGTATTTTGACGTTTTATTACAGTTAATATTAACCTCACAAATATTCTGTAATGAGATCTGAGTGACTTGAGTAATGCCTCATGCCTCATGCCTCATGCAACGTGCTACTGTGCCCCCAACAGAGCCTCGCGATCCACTTGTAGCCCCCCTGCAGAGCAGGAACCACTGGTAATAACAACGTGATGGAAACAATTTAGCGAGTCAACACAGCTCAGCGCAATGTGATTGATTTAAAAAGTACACAACTTTATTGCGAAACAGCTGTCATTTTCTCTCGTTGATGTCCTCACACCTGTATCTTCAGCACGCAGAAAGGGAGGATAAACTTAAATAAATATTCAATCATGCTTTTTTAATATTTCCCTCTGCCCTTTACGCCGACCAAGGGACTCCAATGATTCGGAGCATTTGTTATTTCCAGTTTTGCGTCCCACGATTTTTTGCAGAGGAAGCAGAGACCATTGTGAGATCCACTCAGACTACTGTTAAGTGAACTGTCAGATTCAACTTCCGGCAGCTTTGCCCTCGGCAAAAAAACCTCCGTTTACCGTTCGAAAGCAAACCCCACGTGTACAAAATTACATTTTCAAGTCCCCGAGTTCCATACTCAGCCCGAAGGTCATTCCTCTGGGCAAATGATGGGACAGAGCAGTAAAATAAGCCACGACTACTTTCGTATTTCTTCGATATAACATTTTACAATTATCTACCCTAAAAAAACACACTTCCCTCATCTTACTTAACAGTGGTATGTTACAGAATAGCGCTAAATTCAGTACCCACCAAAATCTACCAATAAATACGAATATTCTAGTTGAAGTTCGTTTACAACCAAAAATTGTTTACTGAAAATGAAGCAAGGTCGTGCCCGGCCTAACATGCGCAACCCTTGTTGTTATCCTTGATATAGATTGACTGTCATCAGCCAAGAACATGTAGTGTCATCATTCCGGGAACAAATGATAAAATTTGGTGTTGTGTCATCATCCCAGGAATTTATGTTGCAAATGGTTGTGCTGCTATTCAAGAGGAAAATATTATAAGTGGTTTAGAACAGGCGGAATCCAGAACTGTTTCTAAACAAAGGATCTAGATGGCATCGGCTTGTACATGAAATGTCTGCACGTGGGCTGAAACGATTTCATTGAAACCTTGACTTCTATGTCAATCCCAATCCGGTTGTCTGCAACGAATCAAATCCTTAAGGTTTGACCAATTAGCTTGCCTCGATTTAAGTATTTATTGCTGACTCCACACTCTCTCTCAGACTTTCGGATTGTTTTATGGTACATAATCTTGTGTACATAAATAAACCAGATAAGATGAAAGATAAATTAGAAAATGTCAGGTCATCAAGAGATTAAATATAAAGCTAAACGTGCTACTGACTGACTTATAACAGCAATCTGTAAATTCATTACTCAGGTCTCCAGCATGGAAATCCCGAATTCAAATATCTTCAAGTCTGTAATAGTAACCGAAATTGATAAGCCGCTGCACTTTGTGAAGAAGGTAGTTATCACTTATTCAAGCTTCACTATTCAACCCGCATTTTTTCCAGGACTCAAAATTTCTCCCGTGTTTGTAAATGTATTTTAATGCAGCTTTACAATTCGTACTTTCATCCATTTTTTTGAACATGTTCCATTCGTGTGTTACGAGTAATTATATATTCTTTCTGGCTTGAGAAGCTGAAAAACACGAGAAATTTTTTATTTCTCCCTTCTCCTCAACCACTCACTCTATATACGCTTTCCTTTCATTTACCACTGCCTGTATCATCAACTTTGAATTATCTAGTAAGAGGGTTACATCCGTAACATATCATAATTTTTGTTTACTACAGAATATCTCGCATTTCTGTGAAGTTTACTCTCATTACAATGATGGGCTAATACAACTAAGCACTTAAGGAAAGGAAAAGAGATTAATGTACATTACGTTCTGTACACTTCTTGTACACTCAAGATCAAATTCCGTCGACTTTTCCTGCAGTCTAATAATACACAATGGTGAGTATAGAACGTTCGAAACAAATATCGGACCTTGAGGCTTCGGTCGCTTTGTAGAAATTATGTGAAAAGTAGGCAGTCCAAATCGACAGGATACAAAACTGTACCTCCCAAGTGTAAACATTTAAAGAACTAACATACAACAAAAATGTCTAGTACGTATCTTATAAATCCCTCAATAAGTTATAACAGATAAATTAACACGTTCAAAACAGTTGTACCGCCTGCTTTAAAATTCAATAACTCTGTATTTTACCCTATCCACAGAGTGTAATCATGGGCTTTCTTGTGATTCTCAGAATAAATGGCGATAATTTCATAATTCATAATTAGCATTAACCAAATAAACGTAGTAACAGTGACACGTTGTGTTTTCTTTGAGGCATAAACTTAATTCTTATAGGCCTGCATTATCCCTTATGAGCTAACGCCTACCAACCGTAAAAGTCATACGGTTGGCAGTCTTGTCAGATTCTTCGGAGGTTCCGGATTCCGGTCATTCTAGTTTTCCTCCATGCCTCCAGACGCTCCTGGATAAAGCCTTAAAACAGGCCACGATTATGTTAATTCGCGCCCTTCACAATCCATGGTCACCATCCCAGTCAACACTATACAGACTGTGCAGTTGCTAAACGAATTGCAGGAGACAGCGCCCTAGTATAATAACCTCCCATGTTACACTTTTGATAGCAACGTCGTAGTCTTCTTTGCCCATAATTCTCGGCCTGCCAGAACCAATCACAAGACTCGTTCATCTTCATTGTCGGCCGCGCAATTAGACACTTGGTTGCGCTCAGGGGGAGACGGGGTGTGGCGTGGCGTGGAATACAGAGACGTAAGTGTTGGTACAGAACGGGGATGGGGTGGCTGCCGTCTGGCTGGGGCAAAAAAGGGCTAGCACGGGATGGAAGAAGTTTCGCGACTTGCAGTCCAGAATACTTAGAGGCATAGTGCTCGCCCCCGAAAACTTTAATCCCACTCCCGTCTTATTTTTCCTCGTCTTCAGAATAACCATCGAACAAAGTCACCTCCAAAAAATCTTGGGCTGCAATTCGAGAGAGCCCAGCATTCGGCCTGACTCTAAAGTCGTATCTTAAGATTTCTTCTCTGATGTACAGTAAAATCAAAATTCACTAATAGAATCCATTCTATCAACGTTGCAGTCCTTGGAACTTCATAATTTGTACTCTCCAACAAATATTACAAGAAAGATCAAATGGAGAAAAATTAAATTGTCATGACACACAGCACGTGGGAGAGATGAGAAATACACACACACAATTTTAGTCGGGAGAATCTGAATGAGACTTGAACTTCGATCGGAGGATATTATTAAAATATTTAGAAGGATATGCTATGGATTAATAAGGCACAGAAGTGAAATCGTGTAAACATAAAACAAAAGTTATTAATTAACTAGCTGAGCGACTATTAGCTTCTGCGACAACTCTGCTGCATGGATTAAGTTATTCGGGCATAGTGAACCAAAGGGAAATGAGCATTTTGTTTCCTTGAAAATGATTGTCTTCTAAGATGTTGCGTTGTGTAACCTCGTAGAAATTTACCGACGTTTTAGAGGTGTTTAATGATGAAAGCAGCAAGAATTTTGTTAAACGTTTGCCCGCTTCTACGAGACTACACAGCGCAACGGGGTACGCGAACAAAAAAGGTTGAACACCACTGTCTTAGATGACAACCATCTTCATACTCGCCGCTGTAAGAACCTGAGATCTCACCAGTGTCTCTTTGTTCGCTGTTGTAGGTGTGGTTCAAGAACAGAAGAGCTAAATGGAGGAAGCGAGAACGGAACGCTATGAACGCAGCAGCGGCAGCTGCTGCAGATTTCAAGAACGGCTTCGGCACTCAGTTCAACGGGCTGATGCAACCGTTCACCGACACAGAATCCTTGTATTCGCCGTACCCGTACAATAATTGGGCATCAAAAGTGCCCAGCCCCTTGGGCACCAAGAGCTTCCCCTGGTCAGTCAATCCGCTGAGCTCCGTGGTCCCCTCCAACCACCAGAGCTCTGTAAACTGCTTCAACGCTGCCGCAACGTCGGTTGCAGCCGCTGCATCGATGACTTCGGGAACAGGCTCGATGCTTCCCGGGTCGATGTCGACGAGTTTGAGCGGAGTTTCGACACCCACCGGAGGGGTTTCCGGGCCGGCGTGTCCCTACGCACCGCCCGCGACTCCGTACAGCATGTATCACCACCGCTCCAGCGAGCCCTGCAGCGCAATGTCATCAATAGGAGCTTCAAGCATCGCCAGTCTTCGCCTGAAAGCTAAGCAACACTCGTCTAGTTTCGTCAGCACCTACTCTCCAGTAAGTCCTGCAGCCACTAGGTCCAATTCGACGGGTCTTTCCGCCTGCCAGTACGCCACAGTGGACAGGACATCTGTCTGAAACGAGGACCTGCACCATGTCGGTCTCAGTGGCCACATAAAACAGTCCATGCTGTCGACAACCGACCTGCTTCTGGACTGCGGTGCCACTACGACGGGCATGGTGAACCATCGGACAATCCTGAGCAGCAGTAGCAACCACAGACAGGAGGAAGACGAAGACGACAAGCCTGGGAGAGATCAGAATCACCACAACTCATCTCTGAGCCCCGAGCAGCAGCAGAATCACAGTAACCTAGCTCAGACGCGAGAGTAATACGTCATGCTATCGATCTAAAAGGCAATCGACTGAAACTAGTCACGGAAAAAGACTGAACCAAAGAATACAACTGTACAATTGTGTACTATACTCAGCAAAATACTACGTCCTAAGTCAGCAAAGAATACTTCGAAGAGATGGTATTAAAATAAAAGTTTTAATAAATCTACTAATAACTAAGACTGTCCCATTATTAGGAGGTATAAATCCTATGTATCGTATTATGAAAGTACAAAATTGTTGCGAAAAGTGACTGGATCTCTTAGCAACAAACCGAACCAAAGATAAATGTGTAAGTTTTAAACAGATTCAGATAGGCTTCAGAAATGAAACAAATATTTTATTTTTACTTTTGTTCGAATGATCTCCTTTGAAGTGACTGTAACACTGCTCTAGAAGGAAACGAGTTGTGGAAACTGCAAGGCGCCATTAGGAACACTAAGTGCGGGTTTCCTTTGTACATGTGGAGAAACTGAAAACCTGTAATGAGCTTTTAAGTAAGCCACGATGAAACGGTTCAATTTTTCCTGTAGGTCACTACAGGATCAGCATATTTTATGAGAATAGCAATAGTTACCACTATTACAAAAATAAAAATAAATAACATAAATTCGACCTTAACTGTTTCGATTTGGTGTGCTTCTTATACAAGATAATATTTGTATGGATGCATGAAGTGTCCTCAGCCGTCGTTTATGTGTGTGTGTGTGTGTGTGCGTGCGTGCGTGTGAGTGTGTATATGTATTTCCGTTGTTAATATCGGTAAGTGTTGTACAAGAAAGTGGAAATGAACATTTGACTTTTATTTACAAAGAAATTCTCCATGCAAACAAATTGTTTTTATGATTAATGTGTATAAGTAACAGTGTTCTGTGCCTGCATGCCCACACTAATCGGCAAAGTTGTTTTCTGTTTCTGTAGTTTCATCCGTGTTATTCCACAGTGTTTCGAGTTCTTCAGGACACAGATTTCTTTCATTCCCAGTATCTGAAGGGTTGTGCATTATAGCATCTTAGTCTTGACTCACTACACAGATCTTTTTATTTTGTCTTGGTAAAGATCACGTATATGTAACTTCACAAACTATTTGATGTAGACTTTCCGTTACGTTAACGCAAAGGATTAAATGTGCCTCTTCCTGTTGGACTTACATATGGGTACCAACGTTTCGGTGTAATATACTGCCTACATTTTCAGGTCTGACAATAGACGCTTATGTTCCACCGAAATGTTGACAACAACCTACTAGTCATTGCAGTGTCACAACCCATATGACCACCATTTAAATTTTTATCACAACAAAAACGTCAAATTAATGTTATTAAAAAAAATTATTTATATAAAAATGAACCGTATAAGAATAATGCAGTCAGTGCAGCTAACAACATTTAGTTTGCTCTTCACTTGATGTTTGTTCTGTTTCACCCTCGTACTATAAACCCTTATTGATCAAGAGAATTTTAAAAGTGAAAATCAACTTATGTCGCTTTATATGACAACCCTTCTTTAATGTTGGCGTTGTATCGTCATTTATTTGTAAATGGCCATATGATAGGACATGCCATTTCGTTCTGCAGAGAACGTTCATATTTCTGTCTCCCTCTTTATAATCTGCAGCTTGTTAGATCTTTGTTCTGTAACAAACATTCAATTTCACGGGCGAACGTCAGCACGATTGGCCACGAATCGCAAAATCCAGGCCCATTTGGAAACAATTTATAACACCCCTATCAAACAACGTGTTTTGTTCCAACACTTATCTAAAACGGAAAAATAATTTAGTACAGCAAAATACTCAATCTTACGCGTGAATCAGCTTGCAGATATCAAACGAGATATTCTGGATTGTCACGTCGCGTTTAGGTTAGCTTTTTACCATCGTTTCGGAAGAATCCGTTTTCAGACATTCCTACCCTTAAGATGGAGATAGAATATTTATCCGAAACGTCGGTAACCAACTACATGATTACACTGCATCATTGTTCAGAAGACTACAATTGGCATTTTCAACAGCCATGAAAACCTCAGGTCTTACTTATCTTCTAAAATTAATTTGATCGATTTGTAGCATTCATTGAAAGACTACACATAATAATACATGAATTTTAATCACAAAATAAAATATCAGAAGAGACATATTACACTAAACATCTTAAGAACTTTATTGTATCCCATAGGAATATTCTGGGCAATAATTCAGTTCTTTGTAACACCATTCTAAAATCATGCTAGAAAACCGATGCAAAAACAGGTCGGAAATCGTGTTGCAAACTTGAAAATAAAATTATTCAAAATTTTATTCCTCAGGAATACATATATATTTAACGCCATTTTCACAATTTCGCTCCTTAATTTCAATTACTTGTTTAAAACAATTATTAAAATAAAGAAAGTTATATCACTGATTCAACGTTTCTAAGCGCATTTTAATTTATTATAATCTTAAAATCCTGTTTGTTGCCTTAGAAATCACACAATATCAATATTTTGTGTATGTAGTTAAAGATATATTACAAGTTACTCTCGTTATGCACGCTTTCACTGTCCGCGTTTTTTTGCATATCAGCGGTTTCGATTCAGTATTATGATCATTGCTGTCCTATCCGCGGCCACGGCAGAAGACGCTGACTTGCGCGCTCAGTTTCACAGTCTCGCCCACCATTTTGACTCCGGGACCTACAATTAAGGCCTCTCATTGTGTATCACACGGAAAGTGTAAGGACATGATTTATGTTTCCTGCTTTACGCGGTCTTTTATATACGCCGCGATTTACTGGAATGCAACCCCCGCGTATAACGAGAGTCACCTGTACAGTCTGGATTTAGCATGGTCACCCGTGCACGATGCATTTCTTTACATCGCACTCCCAACTAACAGTTACGCCAAAGACCAGAACAACCGAACACGTGCAATTATGAATTTTTTATTACTACCAGTAACATTGAATTCTGTAGAGACCTAGCAATATAATAATACGCTAGTCCTTTAAAATTATAATATTGTTGATGTGTAAAGAATAACCACACGTTAAATATGTACGCTGCAAAACATAATAATAATCCCGAAGTATTTCATTTCCCTTTTCGATGTGTTATTTATTTCTGTCTGACATGACCCAACAACGAACCTCTCATCACGGTCCCTAAAGAATGTCCCCATACTTTATTATCTCCATTTCCAACTACAGGTACTTACGAGGTGGTTGTGTTCCTGAAAGACACCAGGTAAAGCGAAAACTTGTAAGGTGAAGACAATTTTTAAAGAGAGTGTAAAATGTACGCATTTCAAAATGGGCATTTTTCCGTTGTAAAATTAATTAATAATGTCTTAGTAACATATGAACGGCGTTAAATCAATTACTGGGTAATGTTTTAACATAAAAATTTATATATTATATTTAATATGATCCTGGTGTTCACCAAAAGTACGTAGAAGTCCTCCTCCTATTCATTTTCTCACAACGAGGACAGGTAATTCACAGAAACAAAACGAGTGATTTCTTAAGATTTATTCCGTGACTTTACACAATTTCTTTTCAACATAATAACGTCTGCACAATATTCGTTTGCAAAACGTTAACGAAGGTTTATTCATTTTGCAACAAGGCTTTCTAAAATACAACTAGCCTATATTTTGTATGGGAGCAGAAACGAGTCTTGGTAAAAGTTCATGTGCTACGTCACTTCAGATACCTCGATGTTGCGACACTGTCAAAGGACGTTTGGAAGGGTTGTTACTGGTACTCGACTCCACTGACGACCACCTCTCGCGTATATAATCAGTCATTTCTTGTCGATTAAAACCGCTTTAGTGGACGTGAACAAAACACAGGAACTCTCAGAAGATCAAAATGTTTCCCTGTTTATGTGTAACCATCACGGAACTAGCGTGGAATAATTAAGATCTCGAAGTAATTTTTCAACTAAAAATCGTGGAATGAACAATGATTTTTTGGCCAGTTTTCACAAATGAAATAATAAGGAACCTTAAATTACTGATACCATTATTACGCCAGTTTTAAATGAGACATATAAATGAGTTTCTACTAAAGTAACGAATGAGAATGAATAGAATATTGCAGCCGTGGTTAAGGGAATAATTTCACACTTAGAAGTATGAACAGAAAACGAAATTTTGGTACATACTTTTAAAGTTAACTGATTTATCAGGCGTAAAGCAAGAAGATGGGATCTTGCCAGTGTCCTTGTGAGCATTATACTTATCTGTATCCCATAACACAGCATCATCATTATTCTCTTATGTGAGAAAACATGTGCTTCCCGCATTGGAATCCAAAATCCAAATCCTCCCACCCTTATTCATGTCTGTTATTACAACACCGCCCTCACGTCCTGTAAGGCACAGGGAAATTGTGGGGGGGGGGGGTATTAAGTGAGGGGTTTGATAGCTAAATGGAAGGACGACGAGGGACTAACAATTTTACATGTCATCTACTAGGGATTAAGGCACGCTTTTCGTACGCGCTCCTACAATGCTGATACAGTAATACAAAGGGGCACGAACGGGGCAGCAGACAATACCTCGAAATTAGAGGTTTCCGATATGAAAATAAGCATGATCTTATCAGGCCAGAAAGCTGCGCACTCTTACACTTCAGCAATGTGCACTTGACGAATTAATACTGCTATTAGATAAGGCCCCTGTGAGGGTCTACAGTTTGGCAGAAACAGATTTTTGGCATCAAAAATGGGCCAACGATTGTAATAATTGGAATTAAATGAGTTTCAGGATTCTAAAGGCCGGGTTATGCCAAATTTTTTATGGTTTTCTGAGGTCTCTCTCAGGTGACAGCCGGGATAGTTCCTTGAAATAATCAATGACTGTCGCCTCTCAAATCCTTACCTATTTACTATCGTATAACATGTTCATTCGATGTTATATAGCCTCTGCTGTCTAAACAATGTTATGTAATAATTTAACAATATTGGCATCGAGGAAGTACACAGACGATGTACAAAGGTAAGGTCAATTTATGAAATTCCTTTTAACTCACAGTCGCATTTGTTCTTTTGGAAATCAGATTGGTGTCACCGCTTGCAAAATCCCTCGACCCTCACTTGCGCAGGGACTGGTACACGTTTCGTACGACACCGAGCCGGTCTATTCACGAACAGCAGGCAGGAGTTGGGGAGCATTACATCGACAACCCCTCTCTCTCTCCCCGTCCAATTCCCAACGTACACAGATGCAAAACTGATAAAAACAAATGGAGCATATTGAGGTTAGCCAATGTATTTATACGTTCTCATTTTGACTTCAGCTAGTAACCCACTCCAGTGCGATTAGAATCTACATAACAATTGTTTAAGGGAGGTTTTGTGTATGGATAAGCTGACTCACTACATTAGTTTCTCGGGGCGAGTTAGTGACGATTTGTGTTTAATAATCAAATCTAAGGGCGAGGGAAGTGACTGGCATATGGCAGCGTGTATCAATAAAAATAAAAGTTTTATTATCACATTCACAGCCCTTCATTCTTCGTGTACAATAAGCTAAGCGATTAAAAGATTGGCTTTCTTTCTCGAACTTAGTAGTGGAATTACGTTTCACACTAAATCAAACCGATCACGAGTCCGTTATTAAACATTTAAATCAAAGCGGTAACTATATGCACCACACACTTTAACAGCTAGTGCGTCTGCATGTTGTATTGAAGGTTTTCGTATGATTCTCAGCGGTTACTTCCCCCAAACAGCGTTAATCACTTGATCGAAGTAATGGTGAAGTGTCGTGTTTCGTTTTCTTTGCGTTACGGACTGAATTATTAAATATTATTTAGACGAGCCTTAGCTTTAAATTGTTAATAAAGTTCTGTATTTGTGCGGAGGATTGGTTTATGAAATTGCTTCCCTGATCTACCGAAATCAATGTAACCTTTGCTTACTCAGTGTTAACTTCGCCTGGCCTAGATTTGGAAGTGAAAGTAGCAGCAATGTCAAGATCAATCCTGGCGTGATTGTTATATTTTCCTCAACTCCTTCAACTAAACTCAGGCACAGAGTACTTTTAAATAAGCCACGGTCACAATTTCATCCTAATAAAACATTCGACGTTAAACAATCTTGACACTGGTACATTACGGTTAAACCTAATAAACAGGATCCTCATTCCATATTAGTCAAGAATTTGTTTACTTCTTGTTAAAAACACAGAAGGTTCGATGATGAACTATTTACATACACCTGTTAGTTTTCATGAATCTTCTTCTACCAGAGTTGCGTTTTGGATACGAGATTGAGCAATCCATTTTTTAACGTTTATTCCACATACTAAAGTCACTATGAAGACCTAGCTATTATTAGCTGAAGATAGCGAGAATATTTTACTTTAAAAATTATAATTTTCGTCTACTGAAAATCTTAAAATTCCTACCTCATGTGTTTCGGTTTCTCTACGGACCATCATCAATGAATACGAAACGGTTCTTAATTTCTTTTAAATATAATTGTGCCTAGGTTACAACTTCAATATTTACAACTCCTAACTTGTTACAATGAAGACTCTTTATAGTTACATTCAGCCGAAGGTCGAAATAAAAAAAGCACGATGTGAGAAAAAATCGAGTTCTCGAGAGGAAAATCTTATTTACTTTCATAAATTTGGCTGTGTTATCTGTTACAGATATTGAAATCAACTTCTAGAGCTTACATAGGCCTAGCCTGTAATATGCATTTGGGAACGCCTATAGAACATAAAACTACAAAGATGAAAGATTGGACCGTGAAAATGTATATATTAACTGTCGTGGTTCGAGATCGCATCTTGAACCCACAGAACCAAGACAAAAATATAAGTTAACGGTCTTGCCCAAGCTACTTTCATTTCAATTTTCTGCGTACTCCCCCAAAATAAATGGGACTATCAAATGCTGTTTTGTAGAAATGATTCTCAGAAATAAAAAAACTGCTCACTCGTCCATGGCTTACTATGTGCATACATTCGTACACAAAGCAACAAAAAAGATGTTTAAGCTTCGTATTTAGCAAAGATAAGTAAGGGTTTCAAATTGTACCGGCTGCTTTGTTACACTTTTTAAAAACCATTAGTTTCTAAAAAAGATGTTTTCGTTATTCTTGGTTGTCAGTTTAGTACATAAACGTTCGCTCATGGCACATAAAACAAAGCACAATATTCCCATAATTCACTATAACCAAAAAAAAAAAAAATCAGAAATATAAAGCAAATAAACCCACGTTCCCACTTGACGACCGAGGAGTGCCGGTGACAAACCCCGGAAACTCTTCCCTGCCGACTGATGACGTAAGCCAGGGGTGATCAACCCGCGGCCCGCGGGCCGCATGTGGCCCGCCTTGAACATTTTTCCGGCCCGCGAGATTCATCACACTTTTACAAAATATATTTATTTTATAATGGCCAAAGTAGTGAAAACCAATGTATTAAAAAAATACATTATTTGTGCATCCATATATTCAAAAATTATCTGTCGAAATTATGAGAAAAAATTAACTTTGATTTTAAAATAATATTAATATTAATAATAATATGGGGATATATAATTTTATATGTGGCCCGCGGAGTTATGATGCATTTCCAAAGTGGCCCGAAAGATCATTTGGGTTGGCCACCCCTGACGTAAGCTATACAGCACTGAACGTGCACCCTTTCTCTTGCCTCAGTTGCTCCTCTCAAAACCATCTTACGATTCAAATACTCACGAGCGCCCACGGACAAACGGGATATAACATCTCTTTAGTCGCTGTGGTATGAGGGGCGTTATTTAAGGTTCTGTTGGGCGAAAGAAATCATCAAACAACACGAGCTGCTTCTCATCGCGTCACGCGTGGTCAATTCCCTCAAAGTCAAAATGACAAATTGAACTCGCGTACTGCAAGATAAATATTTACCGCTCCAATTAAGTAACCAACGGATACATTCTTTGGTATAATTTTGTATCGGTGTTATCTACTGCGTGTTACACACAACTATTTGTATTTAATTAATGTTACATTAGGTTGACAGGCCTGTATGGACATATTCATGCACTCTGTCTACGTGCTGGTAGCTCCAATAATGTTTGTCTAATATTAATACTTTCTGCTTGGGTACGTGTTTGCATGAAATTAACTATCTCTTACTGAATTGTATTTTTGCACACTGTACTCACACAAAATGGAGTCAAGACGTTCCTGTGGTCATTTCTGCACACACCGACTCGTACTGAAATGCTGAATTCAAGGATACAATTTTTCTGTGTCATGTGGTACTACTGTGTCTTGTTATTCGTGGTATGCATGGGGTTTAATGCATCCATTTATAATTCGTTCATAGACAAGACCTATACTTTTACTTTGTTATTATTGTGGATAGATTGTTTTGATATATTTTTTGACTAACAGATATTTTCACTGTATGGGTCGGGGTGCCATATGCCCGTGCTCCATTTCCAAAATGTGCTGTGCACAATCTGAATGCACTTCAATTCATACGGCCCTGCCCCTTTTACCTTTCTCTAAAAATCCATTCCGTTTAACCCAAGTTTTTAAATGGTTATTTTATATGGTACACGCCCACTGTTCTAATTTCGCAATTTCATTTTTTTGGTATGTCATGGACAATTCTCTGTTTTACCTACTGGTTTTGTGTGGAGTTATTTATATTGTGTATCTGAAGATTGCCAATATTTTTTGATTAGTTGCTGTCTTGTACTTAATTCGCTTTACATCGTTAATTATAAACTTTTATTTGCACATCACCCACACAGGACATGAATAATTAATAACTGTATGTCAACAACAAAGCGAGTGTGCTACCCAAAAACACTTTATTTTTCTATAATAAATTCTCGATGGTTCTCGAAACGGTGTTTTCGCCTTTGAACCACCCGACACGGCTGGTAGCCTGAGATGAATTCATTATACTTACTGGCCGTGAAAACTTCACATCATACATCACTTTATTTTGACCACAAATTATGACTTAAGTTATAAAAGCTACGACAGAAGAGTCGTGTGACAATAACCAAGAATTTCAAACTAAATTTTTTGTCGTCACGTGACAGTCAGCGTTATCGCTCAACTAACAGACACACCCGAGGATAGCGCGGGAACGGCTGAGACGCGATCCACGGGTTGTGGTCTGAAGAAAGGTTTGGGGAACAATACAGTCGAAGTATTATGGTGTGCGGTCGTATCTTGGGTCTCCTGCTATTTCAGATTCACGGCGCATTGGGTCCACTAATCCCAGGCTCTAACAAGGTTGGCTTCCTGTCCAACCCACCCTGCAGTCGTACCACACTATAATATATACACCCCATCTGCACCAAGTAGCCAGAGAAGAGAAGGGAAGGGAAGGGCGAAGAAGACGAGAAATAAGATAAGAACGACGCCCAATGCTTTGTGGGGGGGGGGGGGGGGGGGCACTGAAAATGCTCTTGAAAGGAATGAAAAGAAACTTTTAAGATCGGTTGAGAATATGAAAGAAATATACCCTACAAAAACATGAAGGCTCTTATGTTTCCATGTTTCTTTATTTGTACGAAGTAATGTAAAGTTAGATTACAAGCAAAAATGTTGCTGAACTCTGAATGAAATAATAACACTAACTTTAAGAAATTAATTTATAAATGTAACATATTCTTTCGTGTTTAACAGCGTCAGTGAGATAATTTCACTACGAAAAGTTATAAAACAAACATTCCTGTGTTTTGTCTTCCCGATTATGGTCGAGTTGCTATGGAAATACAGCCTACAAAAAAGGAAATCAATTAGATTTTTATTAAAACTCGATATGGAAACAGTTAAATATGGAAACAGTAATGACCGAGTAGCGACATCTTTTGAAGTTAACGTCTATAGTAGGAAAAAGATCGCTTGTGACACCTTCCGGACACACTACAACAGAATGATACTTGACATAAGGCCTCAGATGAAGATTACAATTAATGCAGAAGATATGTGTACATACGTAGTATAACTTCGGTCACATTCACATCTCTCATTAAAACGAGGAATAAAATGCCAATATACTTTGGTATACATGAAGATGTCTACATATGGACAATATGTCGCGAAAGCCTTTGGTGTCAAAGCAACTGAACATGGCGCTTATAAAACGCTCTGGAGCCGTTATTAAAAGCGATGTCGGTATTTCTCCAGTTTTCTGAAAACCGTTAGGCTAATGGAGAAGGACAATCAACTGGAGTGCACGTGAGAAACGCCAGAGGGCTAGATTTT